TCGATTTTGTTTGCTAATCTGGTTAAAATTTTATATTTAACTATCTTAAGAAAAATTTCTGATATATTGGCTACTGATGGATCAAATTTTCAAGATTTATTGGTAAAACTTTCAGCTTGATTTACTGAGTTTATACGAAGTATGAACAAATTTAATAATATAATTCTTATTTGACTACCATTTTCCATATTGCTATTTCTTGAAGCACAATTTGTCAATTGGTTGAAAATTTACTAAAACCTATCCATACTGAAAAAAGTTAAAAATCCAAAAATAAATTTAAAAATTTTGAAAATTTATGGCTAACGGATAGCACTGCAAGATGAGAAGTACTGGTTTTAAAAATTTAAAATAAAGTCAAACTGATTTAACTTTTTTCGTAGTGAATAGATTTCAATCAATTTTGAAAAAAAAAAAACATGCTTCTTCTCATTCCCGAAACGAAACGCAGAATCTCTGTCAAGAGGTGCCTGTGAAGAGTTTTTCTCGTTTTCTAACTGGGTAGGTAGGTGCCTTTGCAAATTATTATGTTTTACAACCATCAACACGAGCCACTTCCACGGTAATTAATTTAAGGATTTTTCAAGTCATTAGTTGTTGCAATTGAATATAAAAAAAAGTTCCGAGAATCAAAACCACCACTTGCAGCCTGGAGTGCTTCAACACAACTTTGATAAAAAGTTACGTCTTTTCGAGAGCCCCTGTTTTAAGTACTTATAAACATGGCGAAAAAGCACTTAAAACGAGCGTTGCTAAGAAGTAACTCTATTCGTATGAATCGACGACAATATCTCAACGTTCTTCCTCGCACACACAACCAACGGATCAGAAAAAGGAAAAGCAGAAATAAAATTTGCAGTAATCTGAAACGTCTGTTGTGCTGCTTTCAAATTAAATTAAATTGAATTTCATTGATTGAGATTTATAGATTGAATTTTACAATATCCTTTTTTCTTCTAGTTAACTGTATTCGTTAAATACCGTTCGTCTTTTCCTACGTTTCTCGACACATTTTTTTGTTGAATACCTAGTTCAAATTTCATTTTATTTTTTGCAAGTAGAAGCGTCGTTGAATTGACGGAGGAGACGTTATGTGACATATTTTATAAATAAACAAAAAATGCTGAGTACACCGATACATAAAAAACACCTATTTCAAGCCTATTTGAACAGCTTCTTCCCTAGAAAATACAAAAATGTACGAGCCATGTAAAGTGAATCAATCTAAAGCTTTTATCTACTACATTTAAAATTATGACAGAGCTGTGGTAAGTATTTTTGCCACGGGGGACCCATTACAGCACATCCTACTGAGATGTGTTTCTGAATCAATACAATAACTTTCCAAAGTAAAGAAGAAAAACTATCACTATGCCTTTCTCCAACAACAAAATCGTTGAATTTGTCTGACCCAGCACTGGATACGACAGTCATCTATTTTTATGCCTCTCGAGTCTCTACAGTTCTATATTAGGATGTTACGGTTCAAGCACGTATTCGTAATGCAGTAGACGACCGAAGATCTTAGTGAATTTATTGATATTGATCACACCTTAAGATTTCACCCTTTGAACGAAGGTTCTTTGATATTGTGTGTTTGTGTGGCATGAGTATGTTTCTAGAAAACCATTAATACCCAATATGCGAACGTTCAACTACATATATAAAATAATGTGTATGCTAGCAAAGTTGGATAGATGCTTCAATAATTATTATTATTCATCAACTTCAAACTAGACAAGTTGAAAAAGTTTCAACATGAAATAGCTATTTATGCAACAAGTTGCAAAAAGAACATTTTTTCAGCACGAGTTGTAGTCGAAGGATAATTACGACGAGTATTGAAAAAAAAAAACGAATTTTGCAACCAAAAGAGTGTCAAAAAGTAGAACTTTTCGGTACTAGGTGCTGAGAAGTAGAACTTTTCAACACTGTTATTTTAGTTAGGAAAAGTATGCTTAAGAATAACATCAAATCTTTTCAGCACTGAGTGCCATAATACTTATTTATGCAACAAGATGCAAAATGAAGATTTTTTCGTCGTAATTGGAGTTGGAAAATTACGACGAGTGTTAAAAAAATTTAATTTTGCGACAAGTAGCATACAAAAAAAAATTCACTCAAAAGAGTTTCGAAAAGTGAACTTCTCGGCACTGTTATTTAAGTTAGGAAAAGTAGTATTATGAACAGTGTCGAAAAGTTACACTTTTCAGTAATGTGTGCTAAAAAAGTATTTTCATCATCAATCCGGACACCAATATTTGGCTTTTTCACCTTCAATCGTTAATTACATTCATCCTTCAAGGCTTTATGATTTTCCAGGGGCGTCATATTAAATATTTGTTATTTTTTTCTTTTTTTTTCTTAAGTGTGGATACGGCTATATTTGTTACGTAGAGGATACGGCTATATTTGTTACGTAAATACCATGAGGTAACCACAAATAATGATTTCCGCTCGGACACAGATGTTATTTCAGGCTTTTCTCTGCAACTGACTGTCCATACTGAATGTATACATAAATGTAATCAATATGCTAGTGTTCTCTTGTTTTCTATCGAGATTGAGTGAGAGCAAAACGCATATTGCCCGTGGTATTGCCAGCCGCAGCGCAACACAGTGATGGTACATGCACCGCTATGATCAGTGTGTCGGAAGTGCAACCACATCGATGACACGATCTGAATGATTTGCGGTTTGAAATTCGGATCCCATTTCAGCCCATGCCATAAATCTGTGTTCACAGTTCGACAGCTAAATAAAGTCTGTTTGGCTTTAGGATCCAAATACATATAGCGTTCTTTGGTTATTTTGACATGATACAATAAATCGGTATAGTCTATTTTGAATGCATCTTCAATTGTAAGCCTTAAAGTTGATACTTTTAGTAATATCTAAATATCATAAAAGATTCATCTGTCAACTAAGTTCAAAGAGAAATTTTATAAATTATGAATACACTTTGTTTTACGAGGGTTATGAATAGACTAATGTATTAGACGAAAGTGCTTAATGAAGTCATAGTTGATTAATTATGACATGATATATAAATCACGTTTCCCAAATTCATGCCCGTGCTAAAACATTGTCATATTTAAGTATTTATTTCGTCAATCAGTATAGGCTACATATTTATATTTACATAGATTTTTCGTAACCTCTACGTGATAAAACTCTTGCAGTCAATATCTCCCTTAATATAGCTTAATGTGGTCATATAGGGTAGGATGGTGCAAAACGCACCGTTTAAGCAAAATCGTCAATTGCTGGCGTATGGAAGCTAAAATCAAGAAGAAAGTAATGGTGTTTGGTTCATTACCATGTTTTCTACGAAGATCAAGTGATTTCGAACTATAGAACGATGCATTTTCATGATTTTCAAGGTATTTTATAAATTGGTTCCAATATGATAGCGGGGCAAAACGCCTGATTCATGGTGATCTGACGCCTGATGATTATTCCTTTATGTTACATCAGAAATAAGGTCGCAAGAGTGTTAAGCTGTGATGCATTAAGTAAAACATCTAAAAAATATACGAAAAGTGAATTAGTTCAATTTTTTGCGATATATGCTGTTAAAAGCTTAATTTGAAGTCGACGATTTTAACAACTGTATCATATTTTGCACAAAATGCTATTTTCTAAGGGAATCAGTAGGTCAAAATATGATTTTATGATCAAGAATCAACTGTGAAACCTCTAGTTGAAAACAAACACAATCCGTTACCCGGAAAATGCATCTGAGGAAAAGTTATCGCTGTTTTTCTATAAGTGGGCATTTTACCCCAGGGGTGCATTATGGGCTGTTCTCCCTTACTTCCGAGCATATGTTTGAGGCCACTCTATAAAAAAAAAACATGTAAATGTGTTTTGCTCATAGCTCTGCCATTTTACAATCAATTATCGATCTTTATGAGTCATTTGAAATGTATTTACTGAAATTTAAATAACTGGTTTCATATATTTTATAATGTTTGTACATTAAAGCTTTCATTAAAGTTACAACATTTTCCACGATTCACACTGAATATTCATGACTGATTTTCACTACCATTTTTGTCCAATTTTTGTTCTCTTTGCAGTATTTGAAAGACAATGAATGCAACTTACTACGTTAGTATTGTTCACGCCCAAACGCGAACGATAGTCAGTGACCGTCGTAAGCCCCACCCATTTGTTAAATTTCTCTCAACCAACGATCGAGCAAGGCGAAAACCAGAAGATGAAGAAGAAGCAGTACGATAGTATATAAGCAGCGAAGCTAGTGGCATTAGTGTTAGTATGGTTTTAGTTGTCAAATGTATACAACAAGAGAAAAATAAATAAGTGAAACTATCCTAGTTTTTTTACAACATCCTCTGATCCGGCTCGAAGGACAAAAGATGAAGAAGAAGCAGTACGATAGTATATAAGCAGCGAAGCTAGTGGCATTAGTATTAGTATGGTTTTAGTTGTCAAATGTATACAACAAGAGAAAAATAAATAAGTGAAACTATCCTAGTTTTTTTACAACATCCTCTGATCCGGCATTGTGTTCAATTGAGGAGGAGCAGTACACCGTTTTTAAATACAGTCCACCGCTGGTTGAGTGCTTGCTGTCGACGGGCTTGCGGAATCCCAACCGTCCTTATCAGGGCAAGAAGAGTTTTTGTTATCCCAAGCGCCTGAGCAGAACACTCATTTTACGAAGACTTCCTGTTTGAGCGGCACCCTTTCCCTTTCCTGTCTTGTCAGGACACGATTAGTTTTGCCGCAAGAGAACTAGGAAGTCCCACCATTCCCTTCATTGGAGTCTGGTACGGCTCCGACATTGGTCCTTCGAGCCGGATCAGAGCAACGTTGTGCGGAGAAACCTACGACAAGCAGAGTTTCTGGAGGATGTTGGAAGAAAGCTAGTAGTGAGTAGTGAGAATTGGACAAGTAAAGTGGACAATAAATAAAAGAGATACATTGAAGTGAAAAAGTGAAAGAAAGTGTGTTGTGAAAAGTGAAACGTCATAATGCCTATCGACCACACGCCTAAGAAGCCCACTGCGGACGCCGAGAAGTTGCAGATGTTTATCCACCAACGTGGTCAAATTAAAGGCAAAGTGACTAAAATAACCAACAACCTTGAAAAGGCTGAAGATGACCCATCGCAAATCAGTGCATCGTTACTCAAAGTGTATGGCAAAAAGTTAGAAATGCATTACACCGAGTACACTGAAGCCCACCGTGAAGTGATTGCGATAACTCCACCGGCAAAAATGGAAGAGCAAGACGACAAGCTAGACGAATTCGACGTTCTGCACACGGAAGCGCTCGATCGCCTAGAGCGTCTGATGGAGTATTTTGCCAAGCCTGCTCCTGTGGTTGCTATTCCTAGTGGAGCAGCCCAAGTAGTCGTGCAGCATCATCCCCTCAAAGCACCGATACCTTCTTTCGATGGTCGTGTGGAGAATTGGCCCAAATTCAAAGCCATGTTTGAGGATTTGGTCGTGAAAAGTGGTGATTCCGATGCCGTCAAGCTGCATTACCTTGACAAATCTTTGGTGGGTGACGCAGCTGGTCTCATCAATGCCAAGATGATTCAAGACAACAATTTCCATCAAGTATGGAGACAGTTGAGAGAACAGTTCGAAAACAAGCGTGTCATAGTGGACACCCACGTCGATGGATTGATCCAGTTGAAACCGATGATGAAGAGCAACTTCAAAGATCTGTTGGAGTTAACGAAATCATGTGAGCGTCACGTCGCAGGACTGGAGTACCAGGGTCTGGCAGTGGACGAACTATCCGGGGTCATCATTACGAAGCTATTAACCTCCCGTTTGGACACCCTACAGCTGTGGGAACGTAAGCAAACACAGGGTGAGTTACCCAAGTACGAGGATACGTTGGTGTTCTTAAAAAGTGAGTGCCAAATTCTTGAGCGTTTCCAACATTCTCGTCATCCTGTTGTGGCGAAAGAGCCTCAGTCCAAACATTCCAATGCAAAACCTGTGTATCAGAAGGCACACACTGTCACGTCCTCTAATTCTTCGAGTCAATGTAAATTTTGTGGCGAAAACCACCGCCATTTTGAGTGTCCCATTTTTACCAAATTGCCTATCGCAGAGCGCATAAACAAGGTGAAGCAATTGAGAATTTGTTTCAACTGCCTCGGACTTGGCCACTGTGCCAAGGATTGTTCTTCCAAGCGTAATTGTTCGAAATGTCACAAGCGACATCACACCCTCCTGCACGAAGAATTCTTCACGAAAACCCTTGAGACCGAAACCCTCCCTGAGAAGGACTCTTCCAAAGACGCTGCTGAAGTCAACACAGTTCCCAAAATCGTTCCGTCAAGTGCCAACACATCCTGTTCCTGCAACCATTCTCAAACCGCAAAGACCGTGATGCTACTAACTGCTATCGTGAATCTTGAGAGTACTGATGGTCAGTTAGTTCCTTGCCGGGCAATGATGGATAGTGGCTCCCAAGTATGTTTTTTGTCCGAGACGATCACCAACCGTTTGAAGAGTTCCCGTGAGCCAGTGAACGTGCCAGTTACCGGAATAGGCGGAGCAAAGATCTACGCAAGAGAGAAGCTGACAGTGACGATCCAGTCCAGGTGTTCCAATTTCTCCACTGATATGGAATGCCTTGTGGTAGCAAGGGTAACCGGTACTATCCCTTCCGCTAAAATAGATGTTTCATCGTGGCCAATTCCTGCCGGAGTTCAATTGGCAGATCCTACATTCCACGTGCCTGATAAAATCGACATGCTAATCGGCGCTTCAAAGTTTTTCACGTTGCTGAAGTCTGGTCAGATTCACCTAGCCGATGGTCTTCCTGAGCTCCATGAAACTCATCTCGGTTGGGTCTTCGTTGGAGAAATCAACAACGATGCTGCTGATACCGTAGTGGCCAACCCTGTTTCGCTTGATTCCCTAAGTGAGACGATAAGTCGGTTCTGGGAAGTTGAGGATATTTCACATTCAGTGAAGGAGGAAACAGAGTTAAATATGTGCGAAGAGATTTTCCGTTCAACACATCGTCGTACGTCAACTGGACGTTACATGGTTTCACTCCCCTTCCGAGAAGATATTGAATTGCTTGAGGACAACCGATCCGTTGCACTTCGTCGTTTCCTAATGCTCGAGAGACGGTTCAAGAAGAATCCCACCCTGAAGAAACTGTACTCTGAGTTTATTGCTGAGTACGAAGCATTGGGTCATTGCCATGAAGTTGATGAAGCAAACGATGTTCCTTCTCAAGGTCGTTATTATTTACCACACCACGCAGTGTTACGGCCAACCAGTTCGACGACGAAGCTAAGAGTGGTGTTCGACGCTTCGGCCAAGCCTAGTCCGTCAGCCAAGTCTCTAAACGAGGTACTTCAAGTCGGAGGCGTTGTTCAGAGTGATTTGTTGAGCATTCTTCTTCGTTTTCGCATACCCGTCGTAGTATTCACCGCTGATATAGCAAAAATGTATCGGCAGATATTGATTGCTTTGGGCCATACTCAATTCCAACGGATTTTTTGGCGGATGGAACCCAACCAACGACTACGAGTTCTGGAGCTGCTAACCGTAACGTACGGAACAGCTTCAGCGCCTTTCCTTGCTACCAGATGCCTGGTTCAGTTGTGCAACGACGAAGGTAACCGATTTCCTCTTGCGTCCAAGATTCTCATTGAAGACTGTTATGTAGATGACATCCTCTCTGGAGCTGACAGTGTAGAAGAAGCTGTAGAAGCACAGCGCCAGCTGCAAGAATTACTCCAAATTGGTGGTTTTCCTATCCACAAGTGGAGCTCAAACTGTTCGGAATTACTGAATCAAATCCCTGAGGAAAATCGAGAGAAGTTAGTGCGCTTGGATTATACTACCACCAGCGAAGTAATCAAGACCTTGGGGCTAACATCGAGCCCACATTCTGATGAATTCATGTTCGTGACGAAGATTCCAGCCGAAGTGCCTGAAACATACACCAAGCGAAAGGTATTTTCGGAGATTGGGAGGCTATTTGATCCATTGGGTTTAGTCTCTCCCGTCGTTGTGGTAGCAAAGATTTTTATGCAGAAATTGTGGACCGCTGGTTTTTCTTGGGACGAAAATCTTGAAGGAGAACTTCTGCTTTCTTGGTTGAAGTTTCGCGATGCTCTGCCGCAAATGTGTGAGATGAAAATTCCTCGACGTGTCATTCTTTCAAACACCGTTGCTATGGAAATCCACGGGTTTTCTGATGCCTCAATTTCTGCGTACGGTGCAATTGTGTATGTGAGGAATGTTTTTCCTGATGGCAGAGCCGAGTTGCGACTCTTGTGTAGCAAATCAAAGGTCGCCCCAATAGCTGAATTGAGCATTCCTCGGAAGGAGTTGTTAGCGGCCCGACTGTTGTCCCGATTGGTTGTGAAGGTGATTGATTCGATGAAGATGAAATTTGACGATGTTACTCTCTGGTCTGACAGCCAGATAGTACTGGCTTGGCTACGCAAGCCATTAAGCTCACTCCAAGTATTTGTACGGAACCGAGTTGCTGAGATCATCACTGAAACCAAAGGCTACACCTGGAAATATGTCCCTACCAAGGAGAACCCAGCGGATATTGTGTCAAGAGGATCGCTGCCCAAAGTCTTGATATCCAATGAATTGTGGTGGAAGGGTCCCCTTTTCCTACGATCCGCAAACTACGAAACTGAACAACCAAATCAGCTATCGGATGAAAAATTGCCGGAATTGAAATTGACAGCCTTCGTTTCTGCAGCCGCATACAATGCTGATAATCTTCCCGTTTTTGCCAAGTTCAGCTCCTTTCGGAAGCTGCAGAGAGTGATCGCATATGTACGGCGTTTCACCTCAAACTGTAAAATCAAGGACTCGAGTCTTCGTAACTTGAAGTGTCACCTCACAGTTCCTGAATTACGAGGATCGATGGATGTAATCATCAAGGTAGTTCAACATGAAATTTTAGGAGACGAAATAAGCCGTATCGAGAACAAGGAGCCATGTAAAAGAATTGCTTCTCTGAATCCTGTGTACCAGGATGGACTGCTGAGAGTAGGTGGAAGATTGACGAATTCGCCTATATCCGTATATATTGCCGAATCATCCCATTGTCGATCTTCTGATAAGAGCGTACCATCTCGAGAATATGCACGTTGGACCGTCAAGTTTGCTCGTGATAATTCGAGGCAGATTTTGGTTAACACGAGGTAGATCTGCAGTAAGGAAAATTACGAGGAATTGCGTCACTTGTTTTCATATTAGACCAACGAAGGCAAGTCAGCTAATGGGAAATTTGCCTTCTTGCCGTGTGACTCCTGCTCACCCGTTTGAAGTGACTGGTGTGGATTATGTGGGCCCCGTGTTTGTAAAACAAGGACGACGAAAGCCAATTGTGGAGAAAGCGTATATAGCCGTATTCGTGTGCATGGTAACACGAGCTGTGCACTTGGAATTAGTGTCGGATATGACCACAGATGCGTTCATTGGTGCATTACAACGATTTACGAGCAGAAGGGGACTGCCTCGAGAAATGCACTCTGATAACGGCTCCAACTTCCGAGGAGCAAAGGCGGAACTCAACGAGCTGTACAAACTGTTTAGGTCTCAATCAGCCGTTGGAAAAATCGAGGGTTTTTGTCAACCGAAGGAAATCGCTTGGTTTTTTATTCCATCTGAGGCACCAAACTTTGGTGGTATCTGGGAGGCCGCCGTTAAAAGTGCCAAATACCATTTGAAACGCACTTTGAAGGACACTCATTTGACATTTGAGGAATACGTGACAGTTCTGACACAGGTCGAGGCTATATTGAATTCCCGGCCGCTCTATGCTACCTCACCTGATCCTGATGATCCCGAGGTACTCACCCCTGGTCATTTTTCGATCGGGCGTCCGCTTACTGCCATCACGGAGCCGAGTTACCAAGACATTTCTGTCAATCGTCTTGGCCGTTGGCAATTTTTGCAAAGACTACGGGAAAAATTTTGGAGAAAGTGGAAAAATGATTACCTGCAAACCTTGCAACAACGAACCAAGGACCAAATCAAGAAACACAATTTGCAGCCAGGAATGATTGTGCTCCTAGAAGAACAGAATTTGCCACCCATGAACTGGAAATTGGGAAGGATTGTTCGAACCTATCCAGGATCCGATGAATTAGTTTGTACGGTCGACGTTAAGGTTGGTAGCACTGTTTACAAGCGTCCAGCAACAAGGATTGCAGTGCTTCCTATAAAGGATAATAAACAATCGTTGGGTCATCATTCCGAGAATACTTCTCAGCCCGGGGGAGAATGTTCACGCCCAAACGCGAACGATAGTCAGTGACCGTCGTAAGCCCCACCCATTTGTTAAATTTCTCTCAACCAACGATCGAGCAAGGCGAAAACCAGAAGATGAAGAAGAAGCAGTACGATAGTATATAAGCAGCGAAGCTAGTGGCATTAGTATTAGTATGGTTTTAGTTGTCAAATGTATACAACAAGAGAAAAATAAATAAGTGAAACTATCCTAGTTTTTTTACAACATCCTCTGATCCGGCATTGTGTTCAACTGAGGAGGAGCAGTACACCGTTTTTAAATACAGTCCACCGCTGGTTGAGTGCTTGCTGTCGACGGGCTTGCGGAATCCCAACCGTCCTTATCAGGGCAAGAAGAGTTTTTGTTATCCCAAGCGCCTGAGCAGAACACTCATTTTACGAAGACTTCCTGTTTGAGCGGCACCCTTTCCCTTTCCTGTCTTGTCAGGACACGATTAGTTTTGCCGCAAGAGAACTAGGAAGTCCCACCATTCCCTTCATTGGAGTCTGGTACGGCTCCGACAAGTATGTAACACATTTTCTCATTTAGCGTTAGCGTTAGCGTTAGCGTTGTTATGATATACTTCGTAGATTGGATACTAGCGACACTCACGTCTCTTCTGAAATTCTCAGTTAGACTACTTTCAGGAATAATGCTGAGGAGTAAACATTGGTTCCAATCTAAACAAGAGTAACAGAAGCATGACTGTCGCTATTCCCGGCCACGCCCATCTTTACCATAACCAGGGATAGGGAAGGAAATGTTGATGTAGTACTTACTTAACGAGAGGCCACCGACTTAGCGACACCCTCATAAGTGCTACGGAGTTGGAGGGTTGGGTAGGGTATTCGGTTAGGATTCACCTCAAGTTGGCGATGCAACCAAAAGTATGTATTGTTTATTTGTTGTTTATTTAATCTCTCGATAGCCGGCTATCGAAAGAACATATTAATTTTGTTTAGTGATAATGAATTTTAAGAGTCATGATGGAGAGCTTGGGATTAAACCCATGATTTTCTGCTCAGTAAACAAAAACGATCCCTCCAGGGTCATCGAGCATCTCAGAACCATAACGCTTCGCGACAATACAGGACTACGTTTTCGCTTGATATGCAAATAGTTTCCGAGGTTAATGTTCAATATCAAATATACAAATGATGGTGGCGATTTATTGTGCTGTGGAAGAGCTTGGGGTTAAAGCCATGATTTTCTGCTCAGTAAGCAAAATCGATCCCTCGAGGGTCATCGAGCATCTTATAATCCACAGCGCTTTGAATAACTATTATTTACGATAATTACATGAAATAAATAAAATATAAACTACAAACAAAACGTGACTGCTAAAATCTCAAAAAGATATTCTCACAAATATATTTCACGCCACCAGGAATCTCAAAACCATTAGACGTTACAATGATACTCTGCACATATTAGACACAAGAAGAGGCCAAAAAGCAAGCGTCGACACACAAAACCCGTCAAATCCACTTGCAGTCACAATCAACGATTCTACGAATCGCGAGCGCTCACGAATCATAAAACCGTTGACTGCGACACTCTGAAAGCGAAATTGACAGGCTCTATGCGTCAAACACCCGCCCTCCAATCTCCACCCGCATCCAACAGCACAAATCTCCATTACAACATCTAACGAATTAAAAACTCCGAAAATCACTCATCTATAGCAAGTGAGTGGAAGCAACCCTGCATGCAACCATTCTTCATGATACACTTTTCTGCCTATCTTTCTATTAGGCCTGCGTTAACTTCGAAACTTCTAACCAAACTGGGTAAATTTTTAGATCACAAAAAAAACTTGAAAAAAAAAACTTTCAAAGGTAATTACAAGTAAGATAAATATTGATTATTTTACGCGAAAACGAGCAAGTAATATTAAATCTCTTGTATCATATGCTAATGCAAATTGACTGTAACAAAAATAATATGCTTAAATAAAATAAAATATTAATAAAATTATATGCAAAATTTACAAGAAGATCATTACTTTATTGGTGAGAAGTTTTTATAAGCCCTCCCAGTTCCTCTGTATACAGAACAAATCTGATACTATAATCAGAATTGCTCAGTCCTGCATAATGCAGCCGATTGCATCAAGGAAGTTCTATTAACAACAAGAATTAATCGTTTGAGGTATACTGAAGCATTAAGAAGGTGATATGTGTCACTATAGGAAATCATCATCGTTGCAAATATAAAGAAATTAAACATAACCCTTTGCTTCAGTACCGTCAACCTCCATGTCCATGGGGAGGGATGTAACACATTTTCTCACATTTTCTCATTTATTTAAACAAAAACTTCAATTAAGCTTACAACAGCTACAAACTATACTACAAACATTGTAAAAAAAATAGCAAAAGGCCTGAGTTCACAATCTCTGATCACGCCTGCCTTCGCAAGGGAAGTAAAGCCGTTGGTCCCCAGTCCATGAGTTAGGTTCAGGGTTCAATAGACTGAGAGAATCCAATCTTTACTCTTTTCATATTCGGGCATTTTTTCCTGGAAAAACCTGGAAAAACATGAGGCAAATTTACTCATTGCTGAGTTCCTGCACTTTATGTGATTTATGAGTAAACTGAACTCAAATTTGGGTTGATCTTATTGGACGTGTTCGTTTTTCCAATCGTTTTTTCCTTCCACATCGCCACACGGTGAATTAGAACAACCCAAATGAGTTTAATTCACTCATAATAGCCAAAAGTGCAGGAACTCAGCGATGAGAAAATTTGCCTCATGGTATTCTGTGGAAAACCTCAATTATCTGCTGGAAAATGAGGGAATTGACGAAAAAAAAAT